ACACACACACATCCTGCCTTTTATAGATAGAGATTTTATACGCTGTGTTATAATAAATACATTGAACTCTTTTTGTGGGTCAGTCTTAATATTTCATATTCTTAGGATTCACTTGGATTATATACCTTCGGATTATTACCTCTCTCTCTCTCTCTCTCTCTCTCTCTCTATATATATATATATATATATATATATATATATATATATATATATCCTTATAATTCGTATGTACAAGCGTAACGCTAGCGCCAATGATCCTATCAAATACATAAGTGCAGTCGTTAGGACACGGTTCAGAAAAAAGGATCTATTTATTTTCTACGAATTAAGTGGTTCTATGGTAACTTTTGAAAACGAGACTCAATGTTTTTAACAAATAAATATGTGCACCTATTATCATGTGTTTCTACGAAAAGTCACATCAAATTTAACTTTTCAAACAAAAGACTTCCAGTGACTGAAAGTATGCTATAGCTTCAGGTGTATACAGTTGTATAGTTTCAGGTGTGTACAGTCATCTGTAGTAATTTTTAAACTCGAATTTCGAATACTTTAAAAAAAACAAACAAATGCATGCCAGAGGACAGAGGAGTATTCCAAAATATTCAAATAATTTAAAAGATTTGAATTACTTTAATACTTTTTATTACTTATTTAATACTTATTTTTATTTTTTCCTTCCTTTATCTTTAATGCCGTACATCAACCCAGAAGGAAGGAAAAAATGTAACTCTTATAAAATCTGATGTAAATCTTATGTAAATCCATAAAATATCGAAAAGAAATAAGAATATTTTCTAGACGGAAAAAACGTTAATATCTTGCTTTAAGTTTACAGCTGAATCCTTATGATTAAGATTATCTCGTATTTTCATGAACTTGTTTTCCAAGATAAACTCAATAATTCGATGCATAGAGTGTCAATGGTTACGTATCTGTCAGCCAAAGTGTTCTCTTCTTATTCTCCTCACGATTTATGTTTCATCAGTTTTCTTAGTTGCGACAAGAAAAAAACCATTGATTATTTAAGCAATAAACCTTTCTGCATGTTTCGTTAAATAGGACTGACATGCAATATGTTGTCTTTTAGCTGTCTTACACGTTTTATTTGATGACTGAGTATATGGAGATCTTTTCAAGGAGGGGCTGATTTTCTATTGTAACGAGCATTAATAATAATAATAATTGTAGTAGTACACACACAAACACAAACACACACAAATATATAGATAATTTATGGATTTAGTTTTAAATTGACATTTATAGTATTACATTGAAAATAAATATTTTAATTCTTTAGAAATTGCTTTAAGTTTCGGCTACGAAACTGGGCAGATTTGGACTTCGAGAAAATTTTACTGAAGAAGTGCGTTTTCCTTAAGAAGGTAAGTTGAGTATCGATGAACCGTGATGCTCTCTGCTGACTAGCACCAAAGCACGCCTGATCAAACTGTGTTTTCTGCTACAAAAGGGAGATACAGCTACAATCCCTGTCGGTGATCACAATTAAGATTTGTCGAAAGTGCAGTTAGACAGACTTAATAAATACTATTTCTAAAATAAAAATGGACCATTTATTTCAAATACGAGTATCCACTGTAATAACGTTTGAAATATATATATATATATATATATATATATATATATATATATATATATATATATATGTTCGTATGTGGGAGTTTGCGAAGAAAGAAAACACAATGGCATAATATATATATATATATATATATATATATATATATATATATATATAAAATCTCGTCATACATAATATATATATATATATATGTTAAGAAATAGGTCCGATAATTTTTTTAAAGACATTTTATTTATGTTTAACGTTGTTATTTTTATAGATACAAGTATTTAAGCAAATGCTCTGTTTATGATAAACAGTATTAAATAATATTTTCTATGAAAATTTCTCGGACATTCAGGCCGGTAAATGTTATTTAATACTGTTTATCATAAACAGAGCATTTGCTTAAATATTTGTATCTATAAAAAAATAAAACGTTAAACATAAATAAAAATATATATATATATATATATATATATATATTAAGTGTATGACGTTATTTTTATGAGAAGCTTATTGCAATGATACAAATAAAGTTAAATAAAATGTTAAGAAGATATTCTTTATCTGTTATATTTAACGAAGCATGAGAATAAAACATGATACATAGATAGGTAGGTAGATAGATAGACAGACAGACAGATAGATAGATATTTACAACATAAGTTAGATACGTATAAATAAGTCATTAAGAATGAATAGGAAGAGGCTCAAATTCAAAAATAAACATAAATAGGTATATGATTCCATATGAACAAACTGTGATAGATAGATAGATAGATAGATAGATAGATAGATAATGAACAGACTGGAATAGATAGATAGATAGATAGATAGATAGATAGATAGATAGATAGATAGATAATGAACAGACTGGAATAGATAGATAGATAGATAGATAGATAGATAGATAGATAGATAGATAGATATGGTTGGACAATCGTGTTTCATCCTCTTTACTGTTCTGGCTTAGCACCCTTAAAGTAATAAAAATTACAAAGAAACTTCGATCTCTGTTTTGAAATTATGCACGGTCTTAATTTGCACACGTTTATTATGCAGATAGAGAATGTTGTGGTGTTCTCCCTCTAAAAGTCTATGTTAGACTCTTCCGCCTACTATAAATTTAGTAGGAGAGAAGGTTCGGAGAACAGTGAACAGTGAATGGATGGAGCGCTGGTTCATTCGATGCACTCTCACTAGTCGTATAATACTCTTCTGGTGGTGTACTTACTGTTTAATAAACGATATATCTTCAAACCTAGTTTTTGTTATTAGTTAACCATTTACTTGGTCACAACAGATAGATAGATAGATAGATAGATAGATAGATAGATAGTATCATGTCGTATCAAATGTAAACAAATGACGTCACACATTATGAAATGGACAACGTCCGACAATTATTTTAAGACATTTTTATGTTTATTATAAACAGAATATTTACTTAAATATTTGTATCAATAAAAAGAATGTATAAACATAAAAATTCTGTGAAAATTTCTTGGACATTCAGGCCGGTAAATGTTGTTTAATACTGTTTATTATAAACAGAGCATTTACTTAAATATTTGTATCTATAAAAAGAATGTATAAACATAAAAATGTCTTAAAATAATTGTCGGACTTTGTCCATTTCATTATATATATATATATATATATATATATATATATATATATATATATATATAATTTTGACAGTTTTCTTTTCTCACACTTCTCCCTTGTGGAACACTCTTCTGGCTCCATGATTTTAAGCCAACTTTGATATTTAAAAATTAAATAGAATGTCAATCGTTATGTAAATTCTTCCTGATTGCTCTTCCATTGTTCTCGCTCGTTAATAAAGTTTCTGTTTTCTAATTCTTTTACACTCAGAACTCCATTCAGTTTTAGAGGCATTATTGCCTTGCTTGGGGTAAATTCGATTAAAATATATGTGATTTTGTATTCCAGTATACGTATTATTAAAATGTCCATCCGTAAGCATATGATTTATACCCAGTATAATTTCTGCTTTATCATAACAACCTTCTTAAATAAAGTTAAGTGCTCCTAATAGTTAAAAAAGATCATTGAGCTTTACCTTAAAAGTGATTTTGGATAAAATATGAAACTTTAATATACCTCCTCCTGTACTTGTATTTTTATCTCCGAAAATCATTTTCAATACTTTCTTAAATTAGAACTATTTCTAATGATTCTTCTAGTAAAATCTTCAGCAATCTATTTGCATAATGAATATATTAGATTTAGTGTATTCATTTATTCATTAATATAAAAGAGTCCTTGATTTCAAACATATCGTTCTAGGGTTGTTGGTTATTTTACTGTGTTAATTATCTTTGCATTTAGACATGCTAACATCAGAGATTTAACAAGGCAAACTATCTCGTATCATAGTTTTCAAATAAATATAATATCCACTAGTTTGGGACCTGTCGTTTTGCTGAAAGAAAGTTGATCTAATTTCAAGTCTAATTCATTTGTCCATTTAAAATATAATATTTATTGGAAAATCTATTCATTTCAATACAAAAATCATAAGAACGATCCGAAAGAGTCTCACTTTTCAGTGTGTACTCTTTCCTCGTTATTCAAGGAAACAAATAGATAAGGAACACATATGTCCATTTCAGTTTCTAATTTAGCATGTATAGTTTTAATCAACGTCAGTCCTAAAATATTTCTATAAAATTTTAAAAAATCATTTAAAATTAATTCTATTTCTTACCAAATAATTCCCGAAAGGTTCAATAAAATCTTATAATCACCTGATTATTTAAAGTTTGAAAAAATTAACTTTTATTTCTTGTCGTCAACTCTATGATTTTATTGCTAAGTCCGTGGCTGGTTTATTTCCAATGTCTACTTTCAAAATCAATCAAATTGTGTCTACATATGTGTGCATGTCTATTTTTTGTGTACAACAAATGGCAAATTTAAGTCACTCACAAACAACGTACACATAGGCATACAAATTACACATGCTCACATAAAGCCGCACTCAGACAGTGTGTGACGGACAGAGAATCAGATGTTCTATTATAATATAGATTAAGCTGGAAGATAGTAAATTATAAACATTACCGAATTGTATTGTATACTAATAGACCAATCGATGAAGGCAGACGACAATTAATTCCCGAACTTTCTAACTTTCCAAGAGTTTCTTCATCCTCAATATTCTCATTTTGATCTCAGTGACACGCGTGTACTCCTTTATATCAGCCAGCTTACATCTTTATTATAATTTCCTTTAGAAATTGTAATACTTCTCGGAGAAATACTGCTCTTTTTTTCAAACTCATTTCTCTTTATTTCTTTCATCTCTTTCACGTTGCATATTATACTTGCGTTCATTTATTCCTTCTTTTTCTTTCGTTTTTATTTTTGATATTTCTTTGTCGCTTTTGACATGTTTTACTCCAGTCTGTCTTCCATTTTTTTTTCTCTCACCTTCTCTCTAAATCTTTGTCACTCTTCCACTTTCTTTCTCTCGTCCCCTCGCTCTTTCTTTCCCTCTCTCTATCTCACACACACAAACTCTCTCTCTAGCTGTTTATGCTCCATTTACTCAGTCTTTACCTTCAGTCTTTTACTCTATCTACCCTCATTTAAATATTTTTCTATTTATACCCTTTTTTCCGAACAGCTTTCTTTGTTTCTCACTCTCTCTCTCTCTCTCTCTCTCTCTCTCTCAATTTTTGCATCTATCTTTCCCTCTATTTATGTTTATCTGCTTCCATTCGTCTGTCTATCTATCTATCTATCTATCTATCTATCTCTCCTTACACTCGTTCTTTCTTACTTTCTTTCTATTTATATTATCTCTCTCAGTCTATATTTGTTTTATTTTTGCTACCTCTCTCTCTTTATCGCTATACTTTACTCTTATTTTTCTTCTTAATTTATTTGTTTACTTTTCTTCATTGTTGATATCGTCTGATATCAACAAAGAAAACACGCCAAACGTAATTAACCCCGTGATCATTGCTTCAATAATAAAGATACGCAGATTCTATTTGACAAATCAAAAGCAAATATGGCTATACTATTTGTATTATATTGCTTTTGTTAGTTTTGTATTTTGTCTTTTTTGAGAAAATCGATAATTTTATCTTCAGATAAACCTTTCCAGATTAGATATTTGACTCTCAAGAGGGCCGTTGCTTGTGCCGTCTACTGAACAAGTTAGATGAATATCTTGCGTGTTAAAATTAACATAGAAAAACCATTCACAACAAGCGTTAAATATAGAATTGTAACGAAAACACAGATGAAGCAATGTCGTAAATCCTTCAAAAGAAAACCAAGATGTGATTGCGTCCCTAAGATTTATTTATTCATAGAGTCCGAATGTCACTGGTACTTCAATACCTAAAGACAGTGGACAAAGGTCTCATGAGTCGAAAGCTCCATAACTGACACCTAGAAGATAATATTCAACATCTATTTTTTATTGCTATTCCCCATACTAAGTTGGATCCTAAGCACTAGAGTATTAATGGAACATGAATTTACTCTACGGTATGGTATCCAAATTTGTCTTTAGTATTACATTGACTAAGAATACTGTTATGGTCCAAGTTACTTGTACCACGGTGATGGTCCAAGGTTAGAACCAATGAAACAATAACACGAACACAGGTATGGAATACAAAGATATATTACAACAGAAATATAATACAAAGAAGTAGAAGTATTAGTAATGACTATCAGATTTGATTAGAGTGAACTATGTTGTCTCGACAAGTATCACTATCAATATTGTCCTTACAATATGCTCTCAATTATCTCTCCTTGTCTTACAATCTCCTCATACCTCTTGAGAGGCGCAGTATTTATAATGTCAGGAATAGTCCATTATTATTATGGGTAAGTTCCCATGACAAATACTATGTTTCATCAGACACTACAGAGTGACGCTACAGATTCACTAACAAAGTTTCTTTTTAATCATTTCCACCCCCAAGCAAGGCGGAAATGCTACTACTACTACTCAAGGAGTTATAAGGAGTGAGAGAGAGAGAAAAGATTGAGTATAGGGAGGATTGTGGAAAAGATGAACGGAATTCAAGAAAATAGAAAATGGCGATTAACACTGCATTTAAAGTTTTGAAGATTGCAGTTATCAGGGAAGCAAGTAAACAGGCGAGAAGTGCAAGAAATAACCGTTAGAGTAGAAGTGGTGGTTGCATTTGGCTATTTCGACTGTAAACGAGTGCGACCTAAATGCCAATCTAGTTGCACGCTTATATTCATGTAGTCGGAAAAAATGGAAAAAGCTCATCAGAGCAGTTGCCATAAAAATAATTGTAGAAAAGACAGGGATAAGCTACGCGATGTCGGTGAGAAAGTGACTGAATTTGAGATGCCAGGTCAGGATCGTTTACATAACAGATCCTTTTTGGATTTTGTCAAGAATCTCAAGTTAAATAACAGGAGAACCAGAATAAATATGTATATACCAAATAACAAAGTCCACATCACTCGCCACTTTTGCAGGAGGAGAAAATAATATAATAGAATTGTAAATGTCCCCACTACCAAAAAAAGGTTAGGAAAGAAAATGCCGTGATTGCTAGAACGAACGATAAAAATTAGTGGACTTAAAAAATCTAATTTTAGAAAACTGTTTGAAAAGAATTATTTTATAAATTTCAACTGACAGTAGACCTAGTTTTTGACCCATGAATACTAATTGTTTAAGGTATCGAAATGGTTATTCTGAACATCAACGTTACTATTAGTATGGGACAAAACTAAAATATGATGAAGGAAGATTTCTAAAAAAAAAAAAAAAATGGCCGGCTAATCTCGATTTCCGAGCATACCCATCTTCTTGGGTCTAGTAGACACCTACTCAGGCACATTTGTTTGTTTAACATCCACAGAGTCCAACTGCTACAGTTTCTTGGAGAAAGCGTATAAACTTGAACAACACCAGTACACTCGGTCACGATGACTTGTAACTTTGTTCTAAATAAAACTATCGAGAGCTTCCGAATAGATCTGTCTACCCAATTTCACTCACAAGGTTCAACCCGTGGTATGGCTTTCATATACTTTCTAAAGGTGCCATACACTGGGATTGTCTCCCCAGATAGATAGCTTCAAGAAATGACAAATTGATTTTAACTCATCATATGGCTGTTAAATGACGATAAAAAGATTATGACGCCAACGTTAAAAATGATATTTACCATTCTTAGCATAGTAGAGCATAGAGCCACAAGTTCGAGATCCCTAATGGAGTTGAAACTCATTGTGCTAATAATGATCTACAAGTGCCGCTTACTAACAACTTTTGCAAAGGCAGAAACTTTAATTTCTAAGCAAGAAATTTAAAGGATCTTGAACTTATTTAAGAATCAATGTTTGTTTTTTTCTAATATTTGGTAAATGCAAATTGCTTTTTTAATTATATAAGAATACTCCATCAACGTAATCTGACATGTGTAGGAGGAGGGGAATGTTTTAGATTAATATGGATTTATAACATGTCCCCTGCTGTTTTGGCTGTATTTATATTGTTTTATTAATTCTAAATGAATTCCTACATCGTAGTTCATGGAATCGTATAAGTGTTAAAATTGGTTAACCCACCCTGGAACCGGAATATGTGCATTGTTTGTTTAATGCTGATCTCTGATCAGAAACAGATTTCATCTGCATCTAAAACTAAAGTGATCTAAAGTTATCTCATATCACACAACCGTTTTCTCTCTCTCTCTCTCTCTATATATATATATATATATATATATATATATATATATAAATATGGCCTGACGATTGCATATAGCATGAAACAGACTGTCGCCTCTAAGTGTTGACTTCTATGTTCACTTTTATCTCTGATATTGAGCACTTTATCCCATAAAACACTTAGTTGTATTCATGTCAGTTTGTGACCCTCAATCCTCAGACAAACCATATGTTTGCCTGACGATCGCAAGTAGCGTGAAACCCAGGGTCACAAGCTCACATCAATACAACAAATTATGCTAGCTCTATCACTGATAAATAGCGCTTTCCAATAAGTGCGCATATATGATATATAAATGATATATATAGAAATTACATATACATACATACATATATATATATATATATATACATAGTATTATATATATATATATATATATATATATATATATATATATATATATATATATATATATATATATATATATATATATATATATATATATATATATATATATATATATATATATATATATATATATATATATATATATATATATGACAGCCTTCTCCATTTACCGGATGAAAAGTTATGGCAGTCCCCGAGCCGTTGTTTTCTCTTCGAATACGAATTTGCTATTTAATACAAGCAACACTTAATAACTACTGACTTGTGGCCCGTTTCTCTTATTGGTGGCCGGAATGTTTAAGGCAATGTCAGTAAATGATGGATTCCCAGGTTGAGGCATAAGAATTCATGTCTTTTCTAAAACGGCATATTGATTTCAGACTTGACGCTTTTTGCTGAAGCGGATTATTATTTGTCCAGAGTATTGAGCTCAAAAGTAACGATAATGTCATGAATTAAAGCTTGTAATAAAATTATATCAAACAAATGATCTAGTAAATATGGTCGATATTATTACGAAGCCCTTTGATTTCTTCTGTTACATCAATGCGCACATTTATATTAACTAACTCACATCTCAGTGATTATTTCCTTTAGAAATTGTAAAACTTCTCGCAGAAATACTCCTGTTTTTTTTTTCAAACTCATTTCTCTTTATGTCTTTCATTTTTTTTCACGTTGCATATTTTTCTTCCATTCACTTATTCTATTTTTATTCGTTTAATTTCTTTGTTGTTTTGACATTTTTTCCTCCAGTCTGTCTCTCCGTTTTCCTTACTATGTCTCAAAATCTTTCACTTTCTCTCCTCCTCTCTCACTCCCTTCCCATTCTCTCACCCTCTTACTTTCTCTATCTGTTTATTTTCCATTTACTTCGTCTTTACTTTTTGTCATTTTCTCTATCTACACCTATTTAAATATTTTCCATTTATACTTTTTAAGTATTACTCTCCTAAACATTTATATATGTATTCCTCACTATCTTTATCTGTTTCCAATATCTATCTATCTATCTATCTATCTATCTATCTATCTATCTATCTATCTATCTATACTCTTGCGCTTTCTTTCTTTCTTTCTTTCTTTCTTTCTTTCTTTCTATCTATCTATCTATCTTTACTCTTGCGCTTATTTTCTTTCTTTCTTTCTATCTATCTATCTATCTATCTATCTATCTATCTATCTATCTATCTATCTATCTATCTATCTATCTATACTTACTATTGCTCTTTCTTTCTTTCTTTCTTTCTATCTAACTATCTATCTATCTATACTTACTCTTGCGCTTTCTTTCTTTCTTTCTTTCTTTCTTTCTATCTATCTATCTATCTATCTATCTATCTATGAGTCATTTTATTCGACAATTCTCGGACCATCGCAGTGAGGGGTATACGATTATAAACCCTCTGCGTAAAAGTATTAAGGGGGAAAGTAAAGAAAAACCTGGAACGTTGCTTCTATACAACACTACAAAGTATATTCTCTTCAATGACAACTCTTACCTCACAATGATGGTTAGAAGTTGATTTCTAGCAGCGTTTGAATGAGTTCAGTCCAAAGTAGGTACTTAACAATTGTGAACCTTCGTCAGGTATAGCTAAACTTAGCAACATACTGCCTACTTTGAAGATGTGACGACAGTGTTATTTTCTATTTGCGAGTTAAGTTAGACAATTATGGATTTTCTTAACTTAACCAAGCATTAATTTTCTTAAGTTAGCTTTACTGAATGTGATGAGAATTGTCGTACATAAATATACGCTTTAGCGTAAAGCTTCTTGTGCGTAACTTGTATTACTCAAAAAAAGAACTTAGACTATTATTCTGTTTTTCTACACATACTCTCATCAGTTTTGAAATGGCCTATAATTTTACTGACTAAATAATAAACTCAAACAATTACCCACCTCTCCTAGTCTTCTATATCATTCTCGTTGATTCTTTCCATAATTAACCGAACTAAAATTCCAGTCACCTGATGCAACCAATGAAACTCTATACTGATCACTAAACACTTGAATCAGTTTTCTTTTTCAATTTATATGTTTCTCTTTGTGACGTTTTTTGTTTTTTTTGATTGTATTTTTTTTTCTTAAAGGTTTTATAATCTTTCTGATGCTTACTTTGATAATTGTTTTATTTATCCAGAGTTCTTAATATTCCGTAACTTCTCTTTTTATATCTGTAACAGCTCATTTAGAATCAAAATTCACTATTTGGACAGAGTGATTCAATCACACTATCCTATCCAGCATTTTGCTGATTTAAGCAAATATAGCATTCTTTCAAAGAAAGAAAAACTCTCGTAGCTTCTTTCGTTTGGTAAAACCAGACACGTTCTTGTTTATTCTGATAAATCCTAGTAATTCACAGTATTAAACAACAACAGTTTCAATAAACTATAAAAGTGAAATACGAAAATTTAATTAATTTCCATTTAGTAAAAATGTCAGATTAGGTCCATTGAAAAGGAAGCTTATTTTAATATTTTCATGCAACATCAGCATTTCTCTTAATCTAAGGAAAACCAATTGAGGTAAGAGTTTGATCCAAATTATCAAATGATTCTGTTACAAAAACAGAAACCTAAATTTCACACGTTTTGCGATAACGTTTCAATTATCTTTTTGTACACGTTGTGATTTCACGCCAGATTTTGTGCTGGCTTTCAGACAAGATTGAATGATGACAAATCTTCTCAATACATTAGAATACGATTCAGCTTTTTTTGCTGTTCTTAATAAAACTACCATTCTGCATTTTTTAATCATTCTTTGCACTTTTATTCTTCTAATAAAAATAAAAAGAACTCAGAATCAGAAAGAGATAGCTGAGATTTCTTGGACCCATAATAAGGATGAGGAAGAAGGTTTTATAGAATTTGGGACTCCCAAGCATACTGCAGGCAAAAGTGACAGCGGGTGAAGTGGGGTGCAGCGGACCATCTACCTGATGAGCTTGCGTGAATGGATGGTGGAACGGGGGATGGTAAAAAGACAAAAGTTATTAATTGCTACAAAGTATAGGAAATTGTGGAGAGCCATAATATCCTGACTGGAGAAACGTATAGAATAACAATGGTAAATGGAGGTAATATGTCTTACTAATTTTCTAAGTGAACCTAAAAAGTTCATCTGGAAAACGACTGTTCGAAATAATGGTTTCTACTTGGAATTGAACCCAAGACACTGACCTCAAGGAGAAATGCACAGCTGCTTCTGCTAACAAAAAAGATATTTCTGTTATCGTTGGATGTAAATTTGGAATTCAACTGGTTAAATGAAAGGGGGGGGACAATATCATAAAAGGTCAAACGTTACTAAGACCTACAAAGGATAAGAAATTAGGGAGAGCCATGACCGCTCACGTCACATAAAAAGAGTCTCAAGTTCGTCAGGATTCTTCCTGGTGTTCAGATTATGATAGGTGCAACCGTCACCTTCATTTTATGTGATCAGTTCTCATGCAAGTTCAAGATATTTTCAAAATACAACTTTCCATTTTCTCTCAAGATCTTGTTTTTAAACGTCATCCACAAGGTGGTTTGGGCGGTCTCCCTCAAACGAACCCACCTCATCTGAACGAAAGCTGACTAAGCGTAGAAGGGGTCGTATTAATTAGGACGTGCATATCGATAGTAAGAGTTTCAGTGGGAATTTGGATTCACAAGCGGTATACACACTTTTTTAGGTTAGTGGGATCTGATTTGAATTCGGAGTTTCCTTTACTTAGACCGTTTGCCATCCAAATCTATAGAAACCAGTCTGTCCTGCTATTTTATCCATAGCTTAGGGAAAAAGATGGATTCATACCTTTCCCAAGGATATTAGCACGTAAGTGAATGTAATAAACTGGAATGGAATTCGAATTCAGCTCTCCCATTCCTTAATACAAACCGCTAACCATTATCCAACTTGCTGCCATTTCTTCTTTCATGAATACTCCGAAAAAAAAACCCGAAACAGCTGATAAATCAAATTTTCTTTGTTTGTGGTCTGTTATTATTATTTCTACCTGATCAAAATAAAAAGATGACACCGAGTTTCGATACTCGGTAGCAGAAAGAGATTTTTTTGCATTGCGCCACAATATGGTCTGAAGAACCGTTATTGCTTTGATTCCGGTTAAAGACATCACGCAAAGATTCATGAGAGAACGATGCCAGCAGTGACGTGCTGAGAATAACTGAACAATCTTGTTGATGTTCAGCAATAATTCGCCAGCAACGATACATATATCCATTATACTGAATATTTAAAAATTCATCCCCTGTGGCTAAACATAGGTAACATTATTTATTTCATATATATATATATATATATATATATATATATATAAGACTCTAGACACACACAGACACACGCTCACACACACACATGTTTCTCTTTTATTTCCATTTACGGAACGTATAAATTCTTTTAATACAACCTCATATGTGAAGACATGCGAAGTTTATTTCTGTTGGTGTTTGAAGATACACGGAAATCATAAATGAAGCCGAAAACATCACCATCAAAGCTGTTTCGACATGAAGGCTCATTAAAAATCAACGTGATTTCAATTTGGCTCTTCGTTTCTGCTAATGCCTGTTTGTGTTTTTTTTCAACACTCACGGAGACAACCTACAGTTTATCCTGCAACTATACTGAGCGTACCTTAGTTACCGTTCAAGTATATGTCAATTTGGTACGGTGAAGTAATGGATAGCGGGTCGGATTGCAGATTCGAATTCCAGTCGAATCCATTACATTCACTTATGTACTAATACCCCTGGGAAAGGTATGAATCCTCTTCTTAAGCCCCCCTCCAGCTATAGGTAAATAGGGCAGATCAGCTTATACAGCCTGGTCTACCGCAGAAAGAAATAGCAGCGTACTACTGGAAAAAAATCTGCCTCGTCAGTCATGTATGAAAAGATACATGATCGCCTAAGCGTGTATCAAGCATGGCACATAACTGACTGATGTGTCACACCACGGTAACATACGGTTTTGAATCCAAACTTGTCCTTCTCTTATACTGTTAAGAGAGTCCAGTACGCCTCGCTATTTAACCCATTGATGGGGGGTGAAAAGATGGATTCATAGATTTCCTAAGAGTATTTGTACAAAAGTAACTGTAACGATCTCGACCGGAAATCGAATTCGACTCGACAATTCTAACTATTACACCATTCCTAAGCTGAAGCCAAAGCTTTAAAATAATTTGATAGTCATTTGCCAAAATAAATTCAAATAACCGCAGATATAAAAAGTAAAAAAATGAACAACACTTATTTAATCTGACAAAGTCAGTTAATGATCCTCTTCTAAAATCGACTGTAAATGTTGCTTTTACTTCAGAATATCCATAGAAAAGTAATAATAGAGATGGGCATACTGACCGAACACTTCACTCATATTGTCTGAAATCGTTTCCCAAGTTGGCCTGAGCACTTGACCCAAACTGACCTGGATTCTCTATCCTAATTGGCTGGCATTTTACACAGGTTTGCCGGAGTCTTTCTTGCTTCCACCGCTCCAGACTTCCACAGTGAGGTCCCACAACGCCATATACAAACTCATTCCATATTCTATTGGCCATGAATAAGTTCCGCTCAGACAGCTTCTTCTCCAGAACTGTTTCAATGTAGAACTAATCTAAGTGGATGCTTCCGTGATCACTACAATCTTAATCACTTTATGTCGAGGGCCAAATGTTATCTATCCTACATATCCTCATAATATACTATAATACCCTTAACATACTATATATATATATATATATGTGCATGTGTGTGTGTGTGTATGTGTGTGTGTGTGTGTGTGTGTTCCCTTGTATATTTGCCCTTATACATTCCACACCATTCAGCGGCCCGCATCAATAGTGTTGTGGATTTCGGGATGAAATCCGGTACCAATAAATAACAAACGCCAAGAAGGAATATAGGAAAATAAATGTATTAATGGTAATGCAGGTTAGTAGTTCCAGGAATGCGGGTTAGTAGCAAAATATATATATACAGTCTTTGGTATCGACGTATTAATGTATGACTTCTCATTAAGTCTATGCGCATGCTCACTGTGACTCTTGCTCGTTACGTTCGTGCTCGTTCTCGTTCTTCTTCTTTCTCGTTCGCTCCCTCTCGGGTATTCACTAGCAGTAGTATATGTATACCCTGGGTGAGTCCATTTGTGTAAAAAGGGGAGAACCCCTCAACAGATAGATAGATAGATAGATAGATAGATAGATAGATATGACAATCTTAATTTTCTTCATGTAATACGATTCTTTTCTTCGAACAGGATTCAGCCTTAGTGTTTGTTCTCAAACATAAATATGACGCTGAATATGAACTGCCATTACTCTCTTTAAACATCGTCTTCTCTGAACAGTTTCATGATT